GTTAAATATATTCTAATTTAAACAAATATAAAAAAATAATCAAAGAGCTTTTAGCAATTTCTTTATTAAAGTTTAAAAGAGGAAAGCACATCTTGCTACCTATTCGTTGGCCGTACTACTGCCTACTACTACTGTCTACCTGCCTTTTAAACATTTGAAATGTTTATACTCCAACACTGGGCAACCGCGCACAAATACTCAGATCAGAACACTTAGAAGAAATTAACTTTTAATAAGCAAAGCAAAGAAAGCAAGAAAGCTAGCAAACCGCTATTTTCGCATTGCCGACGAGTGTGTCTCTAAAATGAAGTAGAAAAGACAAAATATCTTGAAGTAAGAGCATTACAAACGGGTGCTATATGCAATGGGAGGGCAAGCTGGCAGGCAGGCATAATGCACGTTAGATTTCCACATACACACACACACATATATATATAACTGAGCATATGCAACGCAAAATGAGCACAGCAAAGCAAAGCACAGCGCAGCGCAGCGCAGCAAAACAACTCAGTAAAGTAAGCAAAACAAAGCAAAGCCTTGCTCTGTTTTTGCTTTTGTTGATATATTTTTTTTTCAGCGTTTTTGCTTTTGCATTTTTACTACTGTGAGGCTGTAGTTATGCTTTGTTTTAAAATGTTTTTATTTTTTTTTTTCGCTCGATACCACGATTTGTGTGTGCTCGAATTTTTTGGTTCTCGGTGCTCGATTCCCGATTATGGTAGGCATCGTTGGAGAGTTTATAATTTTTTTGTTTGGGCGATAATAAAAAATTTTGTTCTTTGTGCTTTCGTAGTAGCTACTTTTGCAATTTGTTTGTAACATTTTGCTTTTGCTCATTGTTGGGATTTTTACTGAGTTTTTTGTGTGCTGTGTGTTGTGTGCTGTTTGCTGTGTTCTGTGCGCTGTGAAAAAGTGTGCATGTGCGGATGTGCTTTAATGTCCCTCTGAGCATAAGTCATAAGTTTTGCTGCTCTTGTTCAATTCTATTTAAGTTCAACTCGGTTTCCATGAAAGCGTTTAGCTAGATTTCTGTACTTTCTGTTGGCCTGGTATCTTTCGACTCAAATTGAGAGAGAGATAAAGAAAGGCCCACAATATGCGAATTAGTTGACGTTTCTGCCAATTTAATATATACTATATATAAGTAAAAATAAATTGCTTGCCACTTAAGTAGATAAGTGTGAAAATTGAGCACAATTCTTTAAATGCTTTGGGTTTTGGTTTTCATTTAGAAGTACTCGTATTTTCGTACGCATCAGATACTAGATACTGATAAAATCAAATTGCATATTTTCACAAGGGTTGAGATACTTTCAAATAGGGATGGAATAATATATTTTATAACAGATTATTACAGTAATTTATTTTAAACAATTCATTTTATTAGTGTTAATGTTGACATTTATAATAAATCTAATTAATTTATTTAGTATACCAAATTTTTTATTTGTTATGGAGAAGATTTTTATAAAATTTAATATTATTTGTTTTAAGT